ATAGATAGATAGATAGATAGATAGATAGATAGATAGATAGATAGATAGATAGATAGATAGATGCATATATTCCCATACCCACATATATGACATAGAGAAGCAATACAGTCTAGTTTGGAAGTATACATGTATTTAGGCAAGAAAAACAAATCTTGCAAGTTTACCAGACAGATGGCATAGGGATACAGGGGTGGGCTTCAAACATTTTAGCAAGGGGTTCTCTACCCAGTTGCTGGGTGAGCGTGGCCATGGTGGGTGTGGCCTGGTCAGCCTCCTGCACCATGATGGGGAGGGTGTTTTTGCCCTCCCAGGTTCCAGAGGCTTTCCTTGAGCCTCCAGGAGGGTGAAAATGGCCTCCCAGGGCTCCAGAAGCTCTCTGGAAGCCAGATATGGGCCCGTTTCTGTCCTTCCTAAACTTCTGGGGGACCCATTTTTCACCCTCCCCAAGCCTCCGCGCGTGCCCTGCATTTACCTGCATCCATAATGGGCTGCGTGGGTACTCCTGGAAGGGGTGGGGTGGGTGGGGTCAGCTAGGAGTGGGATTTGGGGGTGTTCCTGAACCTCCGCGAACCCCCAGCAGCCCACCCAATAGGAAACAAAGCTGTTATAGAATCTGGTAGTCCTGCAAGAAATACTTTGAAACCTCCTCCCTGAGGGGAGCAACAGAAACACATTGTAAAGTGGCTGTGTAGGGTCTCTAACAATGCTTTGAGCTCTAAGCACACAGTGCTTATAAGCAGCATCCTGAATAACAGGAAGCAAGCTTCCTATAAACTTCTTGGCTGTCCTTACCACTCTCTGTATGAAGGCACTGCTGCCATCAAACCAAACAGGGATGCAGTTTGTTAAAATGCTCTCAATTGTGCTTCTGTAAAAAGTGGCCAGGACAGAAGGAGAAAGATGTGCTTTCCTCATCCAACACAGGAAATGCAGGTGCTGGTTTGCACACTTTACTAAGGATGACATGTGGAAAGACCAATTAAGATTGTTAAGATATCTGCAGCTCCAGATATTTAATATTGTTGACCAGCTCTACAGCTTCATCCTTGATACTGAGTGGAGTATGACTATGCTGTCTGTTTCTAAAAGCTACAATGATCTCCTTTGTTTTATCAACATTTAGAAGCAGGTTACTTTTATTGCACCAGTCCACCAGAGCCTTCACCTCTTCCCTATAAGCATCTTCATCCCAGATAAGACCCACCACTGCCGTGTCATCCGCATGCTTCACAATATGATCCATAGCAGATTTGGCACAGCAGTCGTGGGTCATCAAGATGAACAGTAGCTGATTCAAGACACAGCCCTGTGGGGAACCTGTACTCAAAGAGATGGACTTGGAAACTTTTCTACCAACTCGCATAAACTGGAGCCTATCAATAAGGAAATAAAGTATCCAATTACATAAATGGGTATTAAAACCTAATAGGCTCAGTTTGTTAACCAAATGCTGCAGAATGATTGTGTTGAATGATGAAGTAAAATAAACAAACAGCATGAGTATTCTTCTCCCCAGGAGTGCCAAGCTAAGATGAAGCACACAGGAAAGTCTATAGAGCAGTTCTTCTGATTGGCAAATTCTAATGAGTCAAATGTAGGGGAAAGGCAAGAAACCAAATAGTCCTCTACCAGTCTCTCAAAACACTTCATCATAATGGAAGTGCAACTGGATGGTAATCATTAAGGAATATGATTATAGTTTTGGTTTTTTTGACACTTGTACAATGATTGCAGTTTAAAACATGATGCAACCACTATTACAACTTACGAGCAAAATTCCAAACTGAGTTGTGGTCATACCTCGAGGAGTATTTGTGCTGTTTGTTTTGTATTCACAGTCAATCAAGATACATATTTGTTTATCATCCTCACAAGAAATTTCAAGCATATGGATAGAATTATAGTCTGGGTCCAGAGCTACCCATTTCTCTTTGCATTAAGAAGCAAATTTCAGGCAAAGCGGGGTCCCTTTAGAGCTCATGATATAGTTTCCCATTTCTTTCCTGGCCAAAAAAAAATGCTCTATTTATAAACAAAGGTTTGGATTCAGGCTTAACAAAATTGCACTCCGAAAGAAGAGAGACAGGAACCTACATTTTCAATTGTTTTTTCACCCTTATTCTCCTGTGCCTTCTGTCCTGAAGGATTAGTTGTACACCACCCAGAGTCACTTGCTCAAGAGATGGCAGCAATATCAATTAGGTAAATAAATAAATTGGAGAAGCACTTCAAAGCCACATGAGAAATGATGCTGGAAGTTGCAAAAGAAGAGCAAATAGGAATCATTTCCCTATTCCTGTCTACTTTATTTTATTTTGATGGCTCAAAGGAAAGAGCTTTTCTGTTTAAAGAAAGCCAATTTAAATAGTAGGCAGACCAGGGGTGGGTTTCTACCCGTTCTATCCACCTCTGTAGAACTGGTAGCTCTGAAGAGCAGCAGACTTAGAACCGGTTCTATGTCTGCTGATGTTTTTGGCCACCCACCCACCCACCCATCCAGGCTCTTAGCTGACCTTTATTTCCTGATTTTTTCAACTTCAGCTGCCATGCGAAGCACAGCTGCAGTTAAAAAAGCAGGAAAAAAGGGCTTTTTGAAAGGCTGCTTCTCTGCATGCAGCATGCTGATGATGATTTACAGGCGCACGGGCAGTGTGCAGGGAAGCACATCGTAAATCACCAAACCTCATAAATAACCGAACTGGTAGTTAACCCTGTCAGATCCCACCCCTGGGGCAGACTCCACAACTTCTATTGTTTCATACAATATATGAAATTCAGTAAGCATGCAAAGCTCTTTTCATTCCATGCCTATTAAGTAAGCTTCTCATTCATATGGAGTTCTCAGTTGTTTTATAATTTCTGCTAACCATTCTCATTACTAACTTTGTGTTTCAGGATTTTTCTTTATTTTAAAAGTTTCCACACCTGAGAGAGAGTAAAATCAGAAGATAATGGTTGAATTTATCTAGAACAGCAGCAAATGTTTATTATAAATATATATGCTGTATATGCACATAAAAACAAACTTCAGTTTTTTAAAAAATGTGGCTGCTTTTAAACCTATTTTTCATTTCAGAAGCTTTGTGTTAGAAATGCTAGTATGTATAATGTATATTATATTTGAACTGATCCAGCCCAAGCCACATCTGGTATTATTATGTTTGGGACATACCCTACTTTGAAAAGATATAATAATTAGTGGCTCTGCTAATCTTTAAAAAAACCTACAAATGTTTCATCTTTTATATGTAATCTGCAATAATCCATCCAGACCGATGCATTTGCCCACTTTATAAACAATCCAGATGGCAACAAACTGGAGAATCACAGTACAAACAGTACTCTATTTACAAACAGGTTAGATTCAGAGCAGTAGCTCATAAGTCCAGTTTGTTCACAAATCCAAACTAGCAAAAATACGCAAGAGAAAGTCAGTTTTAATCCTTTGCCACCTTCTCCTGATTTCCAGAACCCTTTAGTTGAGATTGCAGACAAGTTTATTCATATTGACAAAAGTTTGCAACTTGAAAGTTCATAAGTAAAATAATGTGGTAGTCGAATATTGTTTTCCCCACTGCATTAAAAAAAAATGCAGTATTCAGTCCAAGAATCCAGGAAAGGCTATGATTCTTTCATTCTCCTTCCAGGCATGTCTCTTCTTGGGCAGACAGTTTCCTACATTGTATTGGGCATTTAGGTTCAAAAGAAAACATATGGCTGCATTGATCTAGAAGGTTTAAGTGTCCCTATTTAGCATTTTCTAGAGGTAATGGCTGAATAATTAAATGGTGGGGGGGGTTTCCTCCAAAAATAAAGACCCTTTAAATTCTTTTATGTTGTATTTTTTTAAAATGCTATAAAAATAAAGATAACAATAAATTTTTTAAAAATCCAAAAAATCAGCCATTTTAATCTATCTTAATAAATATTTAAAAAGTAATTGAGAAAATATTTTATTCTAGAAATACTTCTTTAAATCTAACTCTACATTAGGCAATATGCCTTGTCAATAATTTAGCCATAGCAGGTGACAGCACTTCATCAGGGCTGTTGATCTTGAAAAAGCTAAGCATTACTGAATCTGATTGGTAGGATGGGGGAAAAAAAACAGGAACCTTACAGATGTAGGCTACATTGAGACATTAAAAAAAAATCTCAGAAATTATGAAGAAAACATAAGGACATGTCTATGTAGATTTAAGAAAGACTACTTCTTCAACAGGATTATTGATTATATATTCCAGAATTCATTTT